GTCCATGTGTGGACAATTTGTTTCAGAAGGTGACTGTAATCAAATTTCCCAAATAAATGAAAGTGGTTGTCAGACTTTAGTGAGCATCACAATCATCCTGGAAGCTTCCCAGAGATTCTGAGGTGGTAGGTCTGGGATGGGGCCCAGGAACCTACATTTGACCAAGCACACAGGGGTTCCCAGGCAAAGTGGTCTAATGCTCCGCACTGAAAACACATCTGCATCTAAGGTGGTGGTAATATTCTTTTGTCAAACTGGCCCGTACCCCTTTTACTCCAAGAACTCCATACCCTAGGAAAAAGAACCTGGACCAGGGAGACTTCCCCTGGCCAAATTATTTACCGAGAACTTAAAATTGGGACTCCGAGAACCAGCAGTCTGTGTGTGCCTGAACCATTCGGGTCAGAAGTTCTGCTCACAGTTCCCTGACTTCCGGGGAAGTCCCCCTCTGCTGTCCTACCCCCTACCCTGCCCGGTCCTTCCCAGGCTTCCCCTCATCTGCCTCAGTGTGTCCCAAGATACTGTCCTCAGCAGCTTTCTGGGATCACCCAGACACTCAGCTTGAGGATGTTGTCTGTGCCCATGTTTCGATGGACTGTGCTCCTCAGGCCAGACCGTTGCCTGGGTCTCAGGCCATCTGTCAACTAGACAACTCTACCTTGATGTCCCACAGGGGCCTCACTGAACTTAGCCCAAATGGAACTCATCGGGTTTTCTCTCACACCTGGTGCCTTTTATGTCCCTCATGTCAAAGAATAGGCCCTCTCTCCACCCAGGCACCAAGTCAGAACACCTGAGCATTATCCTAGACACCTCATGTTCTTAACTCCACCTCTGTTCTAGAATAAAAGGAACAGCTACCATTTACGGAAAACACACTACAGGTAATAACTCATACAACTCGATGCACCACAAAGGCAGGCACTGTAATTGCCCCATCTGACAGATGAGAAAACAGGCACACAGGGCTAGGTTACTCGTTCAAGGTCATGTCCTAAGTGGTTTGGTTGGGGTGTGAGCCCTGGCAGTCTGGCCCCAGCCTGTGCCCCTGACCTATGGGTGTGGCCGGCCTTTCTCTATCCGCAGCACTGGTTTGGGAGCTTTGTCAAGCTCTCCGCATCTCTCGGCTGGACCTCTGCATCTATGAACCTCCTGACAAGTCTTCTTGCCCTTGATCTTACCCTACTCCGATCTGTTTTTCCGAATGCAAGGAGGAAATCTTTCTAAACTGGGAATCTGATGTCACTCCTCTGCAGAAGCCCTTCAAAGGCTCCCAGTTTTACCCTCACTGGCCTCACAGCTAATGAACGGAGGAATCTGAATTCCTGCAGGCTGACTCCAGGGATGTGCTCCCAAGTTTTATCTCATGCTGCCTCTCTGAGCCTCAGTTTCCTCACTGGCAAAACAGGAACAAGGATACCCACTGTAAAGGGCTGTTAGGAAATGTACGGTGCCTAACAGCAGAGTGCCTGGCACACAGAAGCGACTCATACATGCAGCTTCGACGAGTATTATTAAAAAGAAAAGAGTGGGGATGAAAGGGGGTGGAGAGGAAGACCTGGTTACTCTGAGAGGCAAAGTAAGTCCCACTAGGGATACTAATTAAGTGAGATGCATTTTCTTCCTTTCTTTTTTTTTTTTCCTTTTTGTCTTTTTTTCGTGTCCAGCAATGGATCGCAACCCTCAGTGTCGCGCCCGTACTGGACCAGGACCAGCAACGGGATCGCAACCCTCGGTGCTGCGCCCGCACCTCGCTCAGCCAGTGAGTGGGAACCGGTCTGTATGTGGGATCCGAACCCTCGGCGGGAGCACCGCTACGCTCCCAAGCAGCACACTGTAGCAGTGTGCCACCGGGCCGGCCCGAGTGAGATGCATTTTCTCACTTAATCTTCATAGCCTCTGAGGCATAGGTATGATTACATTTCCCAGAGGGGAAGCTGAGGCTGAGACGTGGACCGACCGACTTAAGGCCAGTTCAATCCTGATCTTTCCCCGTGCGGAGCACTGCGTCTTCCCCTGTCCCTCCCATCTCTGCGGTGCGGTGTGTTGATGTGGGATTTCTACTCTTTCAGATATTACCAGCTGAAGATCAACTGTGGGTCAAAGCTGTGACAAGACCAAAGGAAATCTGGAGACACAGGAAAAAGCAAGCAAACGGTGGGACCTGGTGCTCCAGTAAAGAATATCTTCCCTTTGTCCCATAGTCTCTGGCAGACTCCCATAAAAACGACAGCCTTGGGGCCATTACTGTTTCTACAACAATGAGAATATTTATTTTCTCCAGACAGTAAAAATAACATTTTTCTCTCCTTTGTAAAAGTTAAGTACCATTACATTCCATTTTCTTAAATAACAAAATCCTAAAAATATATATTAAATTGTATACAGTGTGTCACACTTCATCTTATATTTTAAAATACATGGTGTTTCCATTTTATTCTCAAAGTTGCAAATTAGGAGCATATTTACAAGTAAAGTCTTGTCATCCAAAGATAAAATCCCTGCTGGAAGGTGAGTTTGGATGTGGGAAGGTCTTGATGCCACCTGAACCCCATGGATGGCAGCTCCCTCTGTGGGCAAGAAAGAGACTTCCCGTCTGTGCTTCCAAAGACACTTCCTTGCTCAAGCAGATTTACCTCTGACTTTCCTCCACACCCCACTTCTACTGAGTTGAGAGACAGAAGCCTGTGAGATGGGCCCACCAGGGGTCTGCAGGCAGAGGGTGAAGTCCTGTCACCCCTGAGCCATCCAACCTGAGGGGAGGCAGCTGTGGCTGGAAGATTTGAAAAACACCCCACACCAGGGCAGCTAAGTTGAGAGACCTGGCCAGGAGGTAGAACAGTGAGGAAGGTAAACAAAGACACCAGAGGAAACAATCAAAAGGCTAAAAATTCCCAAGATAGTAACAAAAGCAGACATCAAACACCAGACAGGAGATTCAAAACCCAAGAGAGTGCCAGCTGATGTGGCTATGGAGAGGAGAGCTGGCCTGGCTCTGTGGGAGACCTGGGGTGGCCTCAGCAAACAGGGGAGGCTGTCCACTTTTAAGTGCTCATGAAGATTAAGTGCGTAGTGCCCAGGACACATGGGAGCTAGGTGATGGCCCGCATGCCCGCTGGTGTTGGGATGGCCTAGCTGGACTGCAGGCTGGATCCTGAGCCCAGTCAGGCAAACTCCTGCCTGGGCTGACAATGGGTGTGTAGGTGGAACCGTGCCCAGGCACGCCCCATGGGTTTGGCCTGAGGGCCAGGACAGCTGTACTTGCTGGTGCTTTGATCTTTCTGGGCTTCTGGCTGATAGAGTCTTCAGCCAGAGCCCACACTTTGGAAGTTACAGCAGTCCAGTTACCTTGCTCATGCTCAGAGAAGCCTCAACCCTGTCCTGATGTGGGGCAGTTGGGAGAAGGCACTGGGGTTCATTCCCACTCATTCTCTGCTTTGCAAGCAACTGGACAGTGGGGAAGGACGCAGGGCACCATGTGCCTCCTGTCTCCTTCTCAGATGGGCCAAGGACACTGAAATGCCACTGGAGACCAGGGTGCTGGTCCACAGCCAGCCAAGGCGAAGCCACCATAGGAGGTGACAAGATCAGTTGGTGAGGGCCCTCCTTTGTGCCAGCAGTGAATGGAGTGAGGATGGCACACAGGCCTGGAGCACTCCCTGCAGCCTCCTCCCACGCTGTCACCGCAGGAGAGTCTTTGGACAGGATGCTTTCCAAGTGCTGTCCACAGTGGTCCCCAAAGCCCCCCTGCCTCTTTCATACTCTTCTAATATGTGTCTGTCACTTATTCTCCTCCAGATCACCCTTTTCCAATCACCTCCCACCCCTATTTTCTCTCTTCTAAAGGAGTTTCTTAAAAGATACACGCATCCTCCTTCGGTGCCCTGGGAAGCACCTCACCTCTTCTGGGGTAGATTATTTCTCAGGTGCTTACTTGGCTGTAGGGGCCCTCTGTGGGGTGTTGCTGACAGGTTCTAACTGAGACCATGGTCAGACTGCAGCCCACTTGATGTTTATGGAGGTCTGGCCTGAAATGATTTAAAGCCTTCCTCCCCCAACACTGTCCTGAGGCAGGTTTGGACTTCTCAGGGCAGCTCCACAGAGAGTAAGTTGATCCTGGAGGCTCTGGGCTGTGTCAGGGCCACGCAGGAAGAAGAGCAGCACTTTCTGGAATCTCTAAAAAAGGGTTGCTCCTGCTGCAGGCTCAGACAATACACAGCTTAGGGCTTGGCCTCCCGTGACCTGAGATGGGAGGGTAGGGTGGGTGCACGGGCCTGTGGGATGCCCCAAAGGCCAGTGATGGGCATTAGCCCTAGGCGACCAGGCAAACCCTGCCTGGGGCCAAATCCCACATTCCCTTAGTGCTGCGAATGGATCTGTTCATGTACAGGCCCTTTGTGACTACACACACCTGACACTTGCGTTTGAGAGATTCCACAAACGCCATGAATAGCTGGAAGGGGAGACTGCACATGTCGGCATATTCCCAGTGGTCCTCATGTGTGGCAGGCCTCTGTCTCCAGACCCAGGGGCCTGTGGACAGCTGCTCCAGGGTAATCACCCATTCCATATTAAAGCGTGAAGACAGAACTGAGAAGCTCTGTGCCCTTGGTGGGCCTCATATGGCACCTGAGGCAGCTCCCCTACCCGCTGTGGACACACTGCCTGTCTCCCTCCTCCAAATGCCCCCTGTCTACCAGCTCCAAGTATCCCTCCTGGACTTAGGTTGCCAAGTGTCACCTCTCCCTGTAGACACTTTCCAACTGGCCCCATACAACCCTGCTTCCTCCCAGGAGAGGCTACGTGCAGATGGGTTGCCAAAACCCCAGCAAGGGCCACAGCAGGAAGTGGCATCGGGATTGGGGGAGGTAGGCAAAGTGCTCCAAGGAGGGAACCTAGGAGGCCAGAGGTATAAGCACCAAGGCCCAAGTGCCTTTGGGAGAGCCACGCTCTGTCTGACAAAGGCCAGGCCTGGACTTCAGAGGCACAGGCCGCTCTTCTCAGCTGCTGTTGACAAAGCCCGTTTCTCGATAGCGGGTACTTCTGCATTAGAGATGGCACTTACTCTCACAACCGGCAGCCACTGCAGCTGGAGCTTTCAATCTGAGGGCCTGTCCTTAGAGGATCTCCTGTTGCTAGGCCCTTCCTTCTCCTCTGCAGTTCACCTCCCTGTCTGAGGGACAGGGTGGCATGGGACCAGGGACAAGAGCTTCTCCTTCCCCTCTGAGCCATTTTCAGCCCCATTGGTCCCCATAAGAATGGGCAGAAAGGGCTGCAGAGAGCACAGCCCTAGGGATGTTTTTCATCTTTTAGAATGGGAGACACAAGGAAGGACCGTGGGCCCGTTGTCTCACATAATGCTGCCTAAAGGCTAAACCGCAATATTTATACTCCCTGTTCTGAACTGAGAGTCAGCTGAGAGAATCATGGAGAGACCAGGACCTGGCTAAGGTTCCACAGGACCATGAACTGCTGGGGGCAAGGCCAGACAAATCCAATCCAACAAGCAGTTACTGAGTGCCTATAAAATCTTCCAGTAGAGTTTGTTGTATGGATAAATGAATGGATGTTTTATATGACCACTTCTCAAGCTTGCTCTGAAGGTCATTGAGCTATGGAAAGAAGCATCTAGAAAGAAGCTCATGTGTGGAAGGTGTCGAGTTTGAAATAAGTAGGGATTACCAGATCCTATTCTTAGGCCCTCCCCAGTTGGAGGAGGCCCATCCTAGTCCAGCACCCAGAGAGCAAAACTCCAGGGTCAGCATGGAGCATCAGCCCTCTTTACACTTTGGGGGTACAATGCCCAAGAGTCCACACTTGTATGGGACCAGGCCAACCCTCAAGAAAACCTGAGAATTCTCCCTATCTGGTCCTGTTCCAAACTGTAAAGACCAGGAGAAACTGATCTGTGTGTGGGCAAAATAAAGAAGCAGGAAAGACTCAATGTACACTAAACCTACTCACCACCCGACAGTTGTCTAGAATGCACCTGAGCCCAGTGCCAACCGTGACCATCTCTATCAGCTCAGCCCCACTGTCCTGACACTCTCTTTGCTAGATCAGAGAGAGAGATGCAGGGAGGGCCCTGGGACCCTGAGTCTCTCTCCTAAGTGCAGCTGATGAAGCAAGAAGAATCCAGGCTCCACTCACCCCTGCAGCATGGCACGCATCCCAGTCTGTAGGAGGGTGCCCCCGCAGAGGCTGGGGCAGAGGAGAGGCAGGGAAGAGTTGGTCAGAGGAGAACCACAGGAGAGGTTGACCCCCGCAGCCTTGAGCTCAAAGAGGGACCTCATGTCCAAGGCACAGTGGGGTTTCTAGTCACTCACAAGAGGATTACGGTCATCTTGTTGACTCTGACCCTTGAGTTTCTTCTTAAAGATGGAAATTGAAGTAGAAGGCTTATAAAAAATGCTCCAGATTTCCCCCGAAGTCCCTGGTTGACGACAATCCCTAAGGTCCCCTGAAGCAGGAACACGATGGGATCTGTCAAACAAAAATTATTTGATTTTGCAGATTTTTTTTTTTTTTTTTTTTTGGTGGCTGGCCAGTATGGGGATCTGAAGCTGTGTTCTTAGTGTTATAAGGCTGTGCTCTAACCAACTGAGCTAACCAGCCAGCCCCCAAATAACTTAATTTTACAAGTAGATCAGAACGAAGCACCCCAAACAACCTACCACTACATGAGATAGGAGATACTACACCTATGAAACAGTGGGGCAAGGTCTCTAACAGCTGCCTTTAAAGATCTGAAGGACTATTGTGTGGATGAAATGCTGGCTGTGGGCATCAGGAGCTGGAGCAGGGGGTGTAGCAGGGCAGATTCCTTCTCAAAATAACAAAGAACTCTCTGACTGGCAGAATTATTCAAATCTCAGGGTTGTCCTGAGTAATTATGAGTTTTCAAATTCTTCTTCTTTTTTTTTTTTTTGAATAAAAGAACTATGTTTTCAAATGCCATTTACCTAGAAGCCCACCTAGCTAAAACAAGGCAAACCTTCTCCGCTTGAAGCAGAGACCTGTCTAACCTCCAGTGCTGACCCGGCCCTCCTCTGAGTCAGCCCCCAGGGCTGCTTGGCAGGGAAGCTGAGAAGGGACTCCTATGTCAGAGGGGAGTTAGGCCTGCTCTTTAGGGCCTCAGCCGTGCTGTACGACGTTGCACCCTGTAGAAAGCAACCTAATCTCTTGCTGCTGCATGGGATGTGGCAGGACTGTGCCTGAGAAGCTTCCCCAGAACATGTGAACTGTGACTTTAAAAATATGTTTTAAAAATATATGTGTGTGTGTGTGTGTGTGTGTGGCTTAAGAATGAGCCCAGTAAACAATACTGACATTGTTTCCACTGAAATATTTCAAGTGTAGGGTGGAAATGTCCATGAAAGGTGATCTCAGTGTGCCCAGAGTCAGCCTTCACAGGACAATGGAAGAGCTTACATTTAATGTATAAAAATTCTCGGTAAGTGAGAAGGTCAGGAAAAAGAGGGCTTTTACTGGACATCAATGTTCAGGAAGTGCTTGCAATGGGGAAGCCTGGATTGGGAACCACAGGAAAGAAAGAGTAGGGGTCTAGAAAAAATTAGAAAGAATGCCACTCTTTAAATACACAAACATCAGCAACATGAACAATTGTCCCTTTCTTGGCTTTCCTGGAAGGTGGAACTTCTTAAACCTGAGCAGAAAAATAAAGGAAGGAAAAAATTTTTTCCAAATTGGTCAGAATTGAAGGATGAAGGTTTTGTAAGTTTCTTCAATAATTATTTTTAAATAATTATTAAGCAATATTTAATAAAAAGTTAGAATTCTCTTCCTAAGAATGTTGCCCAGTTTCCAGAAGGCATCAGGAAACATGCATGGTATTGTCCTGAGAATCTTTACTTTTGCATAAAGATCTCTGTAAGGGACCTGCACAAGCCAAAAGATGGAAATTGTTGCTTTTTATGCTAGGACTGTTTCAATCCTCTTTGAAATTTTATCCTTTGGACACAGGAGCAAACACAATCTCTCAAACCTTAGTGAGATTTGTCCAGTTGTACATTTCACTCTACAGAGGAGGAGGAATGTCTACTGCCTTATACTGTCTAGGACTCAGGGCTTTGGAATCATGTTCTGATATTACAATTGTACCCAGGCAAATGAAGCATAGTAGAAAAGGAATTCTGAGGCTTTCCCTTCCTGGAATCAGGCAGCTTTTTCTGTACTCACTTGAATGTGACGTGCAGAAGTATCTTTGCTATGATGGCTGTGACCGTGAGGATGAGGAGAGTTGCCAGACCATACACTGTCCATCCTGCAAGTAAACAAAACAAAACAAAACCAGAGTTTACTGGACCTGTTTGTGCTTGGTTCTCAAAAGGAGGTCTGTTGGAAGCCCCAAGTGAACACTGGCAGCTGGGAGATGCAGGTCTGGCTGAGGAACTCCCTCCAGGTGGGGGACAGCCAATGAATGTGGTGACAGGAGCACCTGCAAGCTGGGCTGAGCACGGAGCCCAGGCTTTCTAAGTACCTTGCCTCATTCTAGAACTCCTTCTTGGAGAGAGGAAGGAGGTATGACCCAAAGTACACTGGACTCAGAATTGAAAGGGGTGGTGTACGTTTCTACCACTAGAACCACTGTGTAACCACAGATGAGTTATGTAAGTTCTTTAGGCCTCAGTGTCCTCATATGAGGAATGTGATGTGTGACCTGTGAAATCCTACCAGGATCCAGAGCCAAATGACACAGAGCAAGCACTGCCCTCCTCCCTGACCTGTGGTGGGTCCTACAGGGGACCAGGGTGCAGTTTGAAAGCCTCTAGGCTAGGTTACTGCTAACTGCACTCTTCAGCTCTACTAGCCCATAAAGGCACCACTTCCTTTGCAGAAAAGAGACACTGGAGGAGGATGTATCCAACCAAGTTAGCCAACTTAAACTACAAAAGATCACTGCCCACTCTCCATCCCTCTCTGAATGACTTTCCTTTATAGATCTTATCACTATCTGATAAAATAGTGCTTCTATTTTGCTTCTTTCTCCTCCCACTTATAAACCAAAGGAGGGCAGGGATTTTGTTTGGTTCACTGTGTAGTTCGCTGCCTAGAATACTACCTGACACCACCGAAGCACTTACATATCTTTTGAATGAATGAAGCTCTCGCAAATGCCAATGAATTTAGAGAGCTACAACCTGGGGCTCTGCAAAGATAATCTCAAGTGAGAAGTGAGAAAATACTAAATGAGCTGTTTAACCATGGTGTACAAAAGGCACATGGGCTAAATCTTTGGAGGTGAGCACTATTTCCTAAGGACTAAGGAACCAAGCTAATGAGAAAATCTCCCTCAAAGGCCTGGACAAACAAAGGCCAGGTCACAAGGCTGGCACTCCCAACCTGCCTCTTAATGAGAAACGCAGAAGAGTGCTTTTGTTTCTGTAACTGCCAAGAGCGCTACCTTCAACTCTGTTGCTTCCAGCCCTGACTGATGGTGCCCAGGAATTGCTACCTGGGACAGTCTGAGGTGGGTGGCTGGGGCTGGTGGTGATGACGTAGAGGACTTTGGAGGACCGGGCAGCGCTGATGCTGAGGTTGGCCTGCTCCGTGATCACCTCGGCCAGCGTCTGGTTGATGGTAGGCCTTTCCTGTGGTGGTTCTTCCTTGACAGCTGGAAGATCAAAAGGAATTAATTGGGGAGAAAGCTGATAGAGACAGTAAAGAGCTGTGAAGAACGAGGCGCTGGTTAGGAGGAAGGTCTCCTTCTTTGGTTCGGTTCTGGGTACAATTCTTCTGCTTGTCCCACTGACCCCCAAGCAGAACCTGTCAAGACTCTAGTTCTGACCCTGAAGGAGGCAGAAGGACAGAGCTGTCAACTTCTAATTATTTGACTGGTCTCTTTGCAGATACCTGAGCATACTTTAGAGTTTCCTTGCTCTATGCTTTTGCAGCTATGGCTCCTTTGCCTGGAAGGCTCTCTTCCTTCCTATCTATTGACCCAAATCCTACCTGTTCCTCGAGACTGTCCTACCTGCAGGGAAGGCCTCTTCCCACCTATTTCCTGTAGCACACATTATCTGAACTCTTCTTGAGGTTTGCTATCTAGGACAAAAACTAGGTTTCAGATACCTTCTGTGTTACTCACGTGCTGGCAAAAAGACATGCTTGGCACACGTGTTCACATTAGAGGAGCAGAAAGTGTGGCTCCACTTTAGAAGGTGTGAGGATGGTAAATCAGTCTTTGGGATTGGCTGGGATGTTTAGAGGCAGGAGGATGGATCCAACGACCCCTTGAGAGTCTTCCAATTCTACCAGTCTCAGCTCTTTCTTTTAGTTCTTTTAACCCTCCCATGAAAACTGTCAT